GTATTGGGGGAGGCGTGGTCCCTGACGTTTGCCCCCACCCTTGTGATACATGGGCAGCATGAGCGCATATACGTTCCACAACGATCTCCAGGATAAACTCATCTCACTTTGCTACAAGTCACAATTGATTTGGGTGTTATCTAAATCTCTTTTTTTTTCGAAGTTCGATAAAACGCACTCATTATACACAATTAAAATTTCCTACAGGATCAGGACTATCTAATGAAACCCAATACGTGGGCAAAAGACAAATAACACGGTGTATTTCTGACAATCAAACAATACCCTGAGAACCCTTTCACTAGCTTAATGCTATACCATATCATGGGAAATGTCACTGGTGAGCTTACAATTAGCATCACTAGTTTCGGGGGGCTCCCACTGGCTTAATGCTAATACATAATTGAAAATACCATTGACGAGCTTACTATTAGCATAGATTGTTGCACTTTGCTCCCAGGAGCTTAATTAATGCTAACACATGATGGCAAATGCCATGAATAAGGTTACTATTTTTACTACAGTTTTACAACTTCTGAACACAAATAGTGAGACAACACAAGTAGACAGGCAAGGCAACAATACACTCCATACTGGGGCCAGAATCAAACCCAGGACTTTTGCGCTGGAAGGTGGAGGTGCAAACCATTCGACCACCGTGCTGCCCAGAATTAACCAATCACACTGAAATTCAACTAATACCGGAGTCAGCGCATACCTGCCACCATTAAAAGTGCCTTTGATTACCTCCAAATAAAGGTCAGATCTTCTCGTCGTTTTTTTTTTTTTTTTTGTGATGCCACAGGAAGTGCTTTGCCACCATCCTGTGGCATCTTTAGGCAATGACAAACCTTTTTGGGCAGACATCAATGACCTTCATTTGGGATTGCTATCGTATGATGTCAAATCCTAATTCGGATAATCAGCGGAGCTCTTGCAGCACCAAAATCACCTGCCAGTGTCCATCCCCCCTCCCCCCGCACCCTTCGCCGCCCAGACCATCCTGATGCATTCATGCTGCAAGTGAAGGCTGCTGACACCATGATTAAAGGCCGCCATTTGTAATGTGTCCGGACCTCCCTTAGAACGAAGTCAAACAGGCATCATGTGGCCACTCCAACCCTGCAGCTGTCTCACCGCCACTAGTATGTGTGATGATGGGTGGGGAATTGCATCCCCCCCCCCCCACACACACAGAGCTCACCTCTCTTCCCACCACCGCCAATCAATTAATCAATTAGCCAGTGTCCTGCATTACAAGGCAGATTAGCTTGTTAATGACCAAATGAATTCTTAAATGCTGATAATGAGTCACATGACATAAACTGCCATGTGCAGCACACATTTTGTAAGCGATCAGGTGACTGGTGAAAAATACTTAAAATATTCAGTGAATATTCTGTAACGACTGTGCCATGCCTCTTATAAGAAAATCATCAAGTATTTGCCCCCCCCCACCCAAAATTTTATAATTGCCTGTCCAGTGGACTTATAGGTTTAATTTGTTCCATGAAAACTCTTTCCCCATTGGAATGAATGGGGATGCTATTGATCTGTTCCAGCCTGTTTAAAAAAAGCTTTCCATGATTGTTTTTTTTTGTTTGGTTTAAAAAAAAAATACAATCAAATTTCATGCGCTGTATGTTATTTTAAAACGTTTAATCAAAGTACTTTTTTATTGCTTTATTTTGATTTTAAATGTCTAAATGCCTTTTGTTTGTAAATCCGGATAATTTGACTGGTGTTGAACTTGTGTATGAAATGGACATAGAGCTTCCATAAAGCTACCTTGACTGGCTGTCTGGTTGTACCGACAGACATATGACAAAAATTGCTTTTTGAGGGGGGAAAATGGCAAGCTTCCCGTTCTAAAGGACAAGGTTATCAAAGAGGTATATGGGTAAGTCGGCTTTGGGAAGGGAACATTCATCAATTAAAACAATTAGGGTGGGGTGGGGGGGTGCACCACGAACGAAGGCAATCGAAACGAAGGCATTTCAATGTAAGTGGTGTCACATTTTGTTCAGGCCAAAATTGGAAGCGTTGTTTCCTCTCTCTCCGTTTTAAAATGTGCGCGCAGGGTAATGGCTGGCGGGATTGGCCCAGGAGGAGTTTACCTTCATGCAAATAAGCTCCACGCCAGCTTCGGCGCCTCCGAGGAGGAGGAGGAGGAGGAGGAGGAGGAGGACCGGCCAAAGCGCTCACGTTCCCCGACGCCGCACGGACAAAAAACACCTCCAACTCCACTTCAATGTAAAAGCCCCCCGCGCTATTAAGCGAACAAAAGACGTCTCGCGTGCATGTGTGTTTTGTTTTATTTCTTTTTCCCGCCCCCCCTCTTCTCCTTCTTGTTGTCATTATAACGGAATAACGCGACACAGGAGAGCTCCCTATCGATAAGTGTTATGAGGCGACCATGAGTAGCGCAGAAGACAGCGGGAGCAAGGGCTCGACGGGGCCCATTTCCAGCTTCACCATCCGATCCATCCTGGGCACGCCGCCGTCCGAGGCGCCCCCGACCCCAACCGCGGCCCCGCACCCTCACCCTCACCCGCCGCCACCTTCGCTGCTGCTACCGCCGCGCTCCGGTAGCAAGGAACTCGCCAAGGGACTAGTGGCGACGCGGAGGAGGACGCTGTCCGTGTCCTCCGAGGAGGAGTGCAGCGGCGGCGAAGACGCGGCGGACTGCTTCTGCTCCGAGCCGGCCCGCCGACACGCGCGCGGACAGCACCGGCAGCATAACGCCTTCTCGTGCTTAGGTGAATAGACAATACTCGCCGTATGATTTTTAAAATGTGAATGCTTGATTATTGTGGTTGCGTGTACACGCGCCAGTGCTTTCTGATATTTTGGCGACACCTGCACGATCCAATTGAGATCCGATACAACAGCTGCGCCGAATGTTTGCATTTTCTAAAGATACAAATGTTCAGTTTTTGATGACACGAATTCGGATATATGTTTAATTCTCACGAGTTATTATTCTACCTTTTTCATCATCTCATCTCGTTGCACGCGGTGACAATTTATCGGAAACACTTGCCCAATCCAATGAGACGCAATGCAAGAATTGGATTCGAAAATCTGCATTTACAAACCTAAAAACGCTTCGTTTAAATACTCTTCATTGGCTAATATTTTATTACTACGGATAAATGATTCTAGTATTTCTGGTCATTTTGTTTAGCTTGCATGCTTGGTGACGCTTCATCAGATACACCTTTTCGGTCCGATAAGCACCAACAAGAGCAGGAACAAAAATGTGCATTTACAAACACAATGATGTTCACTTTTGATGCCATTAATATGGTAGCCTTTAATTATTAAGGATGGTCCATTCTGGTATTTTGGTCACCTTATTTCGCTGCATCGTGACACTGTTAGGGACCACTCACTGTAAAATATTCAGCTCAATTTCTCATAATTTCATGTGGTGTTTATCAGTGCTTTTGCTCACCTTATTTAGGCGCATGGGGGGGATTTGGTGTGTGCGTGTTTGTGTGTGTGTATGTGTGTAGCTTGGCTGCAGGAGGACACTAACTGTCCAACTAAGGACTGTCTTTACCGGTCCATTCTGGTATTTTGGTCAACCTTATTTCGCTGCATCGTGACACTGTTAGGCACCACTGTAAAATATTCAGCTCAATTTCTCATAATTTCATGTGGTGTTTATCAGTGCTTTTGCTCACCTTATTTAGGCGCATGGGGGGGATTTGGTGTGTGCGTGTTTGTGTGTGTGTATGTGTGTAGCTTGGCTGCAGGAGGACACTAACTGTCCAACTAAGGACTGTCTTTACAAAGATGGCACTGAAATGTAACATGTTAATTTTTATAGTTAATTTAAATCCCCCCCCGTCACTCCACGAATCGAGTAAAGCCACCCAAGTATTAGACTCATCCCTGAATCGCCGTGCCAATAAGTGCTTCTCTTTTTTATTTTTTTTATTGGCTGACACTGTAATTATTATTATGAGGCCGATTTAATTTGTTTGTGCTGACTTCAAAATGTGGCAATTATTTTTTTTACACACACATACACACACACACACACACACACACGCGCGCGCACACACACACACACACACACACACGCACACAGACATATATATAAAATTAAATCCAAGTAAAACATGTCAGGCTTTTAATTGCATCGGGCTCTAATTGAATTTTATGGGTGACACTCGTGCAGCCCTTGTTTCATCCTCGGCCTCGTCACAGCGGCGGTGAAAATAATGAGTTGCACTCGCTCGCTCTTATTTCAAATGTAATCGAGGCGGCTAATTGATGGGACGTGTTTGCTGCGTGCGTCGTCAATTGGGCGTTAAATGGCGCGCAGAAGCCGAGTGTGTGAGTGTGTGTGGGGGGGGGGGCTGCGCGCGTGTGTGAGGGCAGATTAATACAGACGGGTTGAGTATTGTTGATTTAAATAAAAAAAGGGGGAAAAAAGTCACCTCGGATTTAGCGCAAGAGCGCACCCTTCACTGGCTCCCTGCAAGTTAGAACAATTCCGTGTTCAAACGCGCGTGTGAAATGACGTTATGACCCTTGTGCGCGGCGATGACACCATTGCACGCTTGATGCTTGCGCAACAAATGTTAATTTAAACGGAAAAAATAAAATAAAATAAAATAAGTCGATTAGGCTCGTGAACCCGATGGCGTTACCGGTCAGGCTGGTGGATTTGCTGTCATTTTGTTGTCCCGCTGACCACATTTCACTTCTAATGGCCGCATGGCCCGAAATTAAAAACTCGAGGTGATAAAGCCTCGCCCCCCCAAATTTTGGAAAGCACTTCATTTGAAGCGCTGAGCTGCCTCTTCAGTGAACACTGAAAACTGGAATTCCAGTGCCATCAGATATGCTTTAATTTGTTGAGATTTTTTTTCGGATTATCTGTCAAATATTTGATTTCTGTAATAATTATAATTCTGAAAAAATAAGCAAGATTTATCAATCAAAAAAGAAATAAATCAAGGACTTTGATGACATTCGTGGTCACGTTTGTGACAGAAACAAGAGAATGCAATTTTCTGAACCAGAATTGCGTTTAAATGCTGAAAAGATTAATTAAAATGCTGTGAAATTAAAATACGTTTTGAAATGTAGAACGCAAGACTTGGACGACTTGAATTTTGACTTGATCGAAGGGTGGAGAAATGTGGATGGAGCAGTAGTTCGTCGAGAGTACAGCAATCTCGAACTATGTGAAGCACTTTGTGAGTCCTCTGGTGAAAGTGCCACACAAATAAGAGCAAACGCTCTCTGGAAAAAAATGTGTTTGAATGCTGTAAAGCACAACCAAAATGGCCTGGATTTAATTGAAATGTTCAAGTGTAAATTATAAGAATTGGCATGTTCTCAATAGGTGTTTGAGAAATGTGCAATTCCGGGGGGGGGATGTTGTTTTAGAAATTTGGGAATTTTTGAAAATGTGAATAGTTCTCAAGATGTCCCGAATGAGCAAAATGTTCTCAATAGGTGATTGAGAAATGTGCAATTCCGGGTGGGGGGTGGGGGGGGTGCAAAAATAATTTGGAAATGTTGTTTTAGAAATTTGGGAATTTTTGACAATGTGAATAGTTCTCAAGATGTCCCGAATGAGCAAGAAAGTTTGAAGTTGGAATGATTTGATTCAATCAAGAAATGTGGAAGCAGGGGGGAAATATGAACAATATGTCTTCAATTTATGAATTTTACTGGGAAGAGCTTGGAAATGTGGGATGTGGAAAATAGTTTCCAAGATGTTCTGAACGAACTGAAGAGTTTGAGTTAGGAATGATGATTCTATTTTATTTACTCTCAATATTTAGGCCGTCGAAGGAAAACGGCAGCTTCAGCCTGGCCTTTACTTGACGCTTCCACAAGGCCATTGCAGTGTTCAAGCAGGTCAAGACTGAAACTTGGGAAACACAAGGAGGAACCTTTTTGTCGAATGCTTATTTGGAGAGTGGAAAATGTGGAATTAAGGGAAAATATAAAATTTTTGGAGCTTGAGGAAAAAAAAACACAAACACTGAGCCATGATGGATGGGACACGAGCGCTTGGCCAGGAACTGTCAGATGCTCTGGGCATTGAACAAAACAAAATTTGCAGGATGTCTTTGTAGACACGGTGGTTGAATCATTTGGGGACAACTTGTAGTTTGGGTTTCAAATATATCTTTTGTGACACCAGTCCTAGAACCTTTCTGACACAGTTGCTTACAGAAAGGGGAACTCTAGGCGACAACCTTCTTTGCAATAATATCTTCTGTGTGGCACCACTAGTCTAAATATTCCATTTATAGAATAAAAATTGAAACAAATTCTGCAGGATGTCTTTGTAGACATGCTGGTTGAATCATTTGGGGACAATTTGTAGTTTGGGTTTGAAATATATCTTTTGTGACACCAGTCCTAGAACCTTTCTGACACACCTTGCAGTTGCTTACTGAAAGGCGAACTCTAGGCGACAACCTTCTTTGCAATAATATCTTCTATGTGGCACCACTAGTCTAAATATTGCATTTGTGGAATAAAAATTAAGCAGAGTAATCTATTCATTCCCATCCATCCCAAGGGGACTTTGCATTGACAAGTGGTGGTCCTCGTGCATAAAAGTATGCTTAAAAACCCTAACGTACGCTTGGTGGCCCCATAGGTCCCGCCAAGGGGCTCCTGTCTGTCAACGAGGGTCTGGCGAGGAGGCCGCCCCTCCTGCACGACTACAACAAGGAGGAGGAGCAGGAGCGAGCCTTGCTGTCCCCCTTGTCGGAGGAGCGGCAGTCGGACGGGGCCGACAAGCACCCGCAGGGCTCCTCGGCCAAGAAGAAGACGCGCACCGTGTTCTCTCGCAGCCAGGTGTACCAGCTGGAGTCCACGTTCGACATGAAGCGCTACCTGAGCAGCTCGGAGCGCGCCTGCCTGGCGTCCAGCCTGCAGCTGACAGAAACGCAGGTCAAGACGTGGTTTCAGAACCGCAGGAACAAATGGAAGCGGCAGCTCTCGGTCGAGCTGGAGGCGGCCAACATGGCGCACGCGTCGGCGCAGACTCTCGTGGGCATGCCGCTGGTTTTCCGGGAGAACTCCTTGCTGCGCGTCCCCGTACCACGTTCCATCGCCTTCCCCACGCCACTCTACTACCCCGGGAGCAACCTGCCCGCCCTGCCTTTATACAACCTGTACAATAAGGTTGACTATTGATACGGACGCACACCTTCTGGTTCCGATAGCCCTGCAGGGGTGTCCAAACTTTTCCGTCCGAGGCCCACTTTGACATTAATTTATTAAACACATTAAAGCCAACCCATCGAGAGATTAGATATTGTTTATATACTGTATTATGGTTGTTTCTGAAAAAATGCCACAATTTCTGTTAAATGTGATGAGGCCATTTTTTGGGGGGGGCTTGAACGGATTAATGGCATTTTCATTCATTTCAATGGGGGAGTATGATTTGTGAATGAATGTTTTGAAACATTTTTATTGGGAATTTGGAGACATTTTGTTACTGCCTAAGCTGTATTTTATTTTATTTTATTTTTTGTGCGTGTGTCTTTGCATACCTGGAAAAGCTCGATATAAAACAGTTCATTAGTTAAATAGGCGTGATATGAGTTGGCCTACTTTGTATTTCACTCTCTTTTTTTAAAACATTGCAGGTTGTGTCAAATGTGATTTTGAATATATGCTGTGTGTCGCTAAAAAAAAAAAAAAAAAAAAATTGGATGCAAATGCAAAACTGCAAAAGTTTGGACACCCCCGCTATAGCCTGTATATTGACTGTATGAGGAGGCATTCATATGCAGTAAATCTCAAGAGAAGGCAACCAAGCTTCCCTGTATGTATTAAATACACCATGTGTATTATGAATTCAAATCCTTTTCTACGGTTTAGTTGAATTTGACCACCCATCCACCACTTTAGCCTTCGCATCACACAAAAATATAATGTATACATTTTTTTCCCCTTATATTATTTTTTAACAAAAAACACAATAGTTCCATTTAAGGAACACAAATGTCCTTGTTTTTATTGTCATTTAACGCTCCGGGAATAACCTCATTCAATAAATTTTCTATTCCAGTCCAAATTGGGTGCATTTGTTTTGTATTAAATGTATTTTCAGACACATTAAGAAAAAAAAAATGCCTTCCTGGATTTTGCATCCTATTGCCACTTTTCCATTGCAGTTTCACTTTGTCAATTATAAACTGTCAAATCTTGATCGTTTCAAGTCAATATTGCTTTCAAATCAAATCAAATCTATTTAATTCATAGCGGCCTTTAAAAACGACTGCAGCTGAAAACAAATTGCTACACGTGAATGAAAATCGAACACAAAACACAAGAAAATGTGAGAACGCGCCGGTTGCTAACGGACAAAACGCCACACAAGAAGGCGCAGGAGTCGAGATTCAAACCCAGAACCTCTTGAACGTTTGGGCCATTGTTTAAATGATGTCTACTAGCCACTGGATAGCCTAAAACGTCAAATTCCTTTTTAAGGCCCTGCATCCACTGCCACATTATTAAGTCAGTTTTACTATTGTCACCCACACGCGCACTCAAATGCCTTGCGGTTGATGGGAAGTGATCAAAGTCGCTTTTCTTGGGTGTCACGTCATGCACAGTACAAAGGAGCGGCACGCTCACACTTTTGTACCCGCACAAGCTAACGGCCAAATTACACACGTTGCCCAATCAGGACGACAGCCACGCTCTGGTGACCTCACAGTGGACGCCATCAGGTCAAACGGCGAGAGTGCACAAGTGATTTACGGCCAATGGCTGACAAGACGGGAGGAGATGAATTTGTGACACAGGAAGGGAGCTTATGACAAGGAGCAGCGTAGGTTTGCTTGAATGAAGCTGTTTATGAGCTTCCAAAGTGGTCGTTATGTCATCAGGCGTGACGGGGCGGAATCTGCATGAGCCGACGTGACCCGCTTGATTTACGGCCACACTCACGTGTGTGGAGATGCGATGACAGAATGCAATATTGCCCCATCCCTCCCCCGACCCCCCTCCAAAAAAGATGAATAGGTGGAGGTGCCACATTTTAATAGCGGGTGCCATGAAAATGATTTGAAGTGGTTTAAAGTGCAAAGAGACAGCCGGACGTGGCGCGCCGATGAAGATTTGTCGAGATGACGCGTCGTGCCTTTTTACATTCAAGCGTATGTCACGCGGGCGTGTAATTCATGATGGGAGTAATGGAAACTGTGGGAGGAAGACAGAGAGCCTGGGCGGCCTCACTCTGGACAAAACATTAGGTACACCTGTGCAAGTTTGCCCTCATCAGGGCTGGAGCCTATCCCAAATTGCATATAGATAAAGAACCCTTCATACTCACATTCAATCATGTAATACCTGAAAAATGAATCAAATCCATCATGATAAGCTAAAGTGCACATTCCTTTAATGTTCTGGGATCGCAATTCCGTCATAAACCGAGGACCACATCGGTTAGCAAGTACAGTTAAATTGATGTCAAACAAAACATCAAACCAAGAGTTTCACAGAGTGTATTAAAACAAATCCAACTTAATGCTAACATAGATTAGGTTAGTTACAATGGGAAACAACATGAAGGTATACGTTCTTTATCCTCTGCTAAGAATGATTAACATTACCGCCATACTGAGAAGCTGAGCGAAGAGCTGAGTCTCCAGGGCAGTCGTGCATATCCGTACATGTCTGACACTTCTTCCTGGTGGCCAAGGCAGGCACCCTAGGTGAAGGTCTGAACGGATAAAAGGCACTTCCATTCATTTCAAAGGGAAAAGCTGATTTAAGATGAGAGTGTGGTCAGAGAACGAATTCCCTCTCAACAGTCAACACTCTATTGTGCTTATGATTTTTAAGATTGTGTTCGTGTAGCTTAGTGATAAACTGCAGCGCATTCTGACTTCAATTGATGCAACTCGGCCACTGTAGGGGTCTAAAAAAAAAAAAAAAGGTCATGAACCGAGGACACCCTGTTTTAAATTGCACAATGCATCATCACAAAGTGAATGTACATCCATATATAAGCATGCACCCAACAAATAAGCAAGAGCAGACCTGAGCCAATCAGTGGAAAGAGCTTCGAAAGCAAACTTAAGCGTTCTAATGCTCCGGCCCCTGAAACTCAATTTAGCGATTTGCAGGAAGACAAGATGGCAGGAAACAAGGCAATTTGCCACGTGTGCAGCGTGCGGCGGAGCCTCCTGAGAGGTCATTATCTCCCCCCCACCAGCCCCCCCATGAAAAAAAAAAGAAAAAAGAATGCCACGGCGTATTAAGATGTGGCCGCATCAGAACCGAGGGAGACAGCGTCATTAGCAGTAATTAGAAAGATCATTTAACTAAACGAGCAAATAATGTCCAGGATATTGAAGAAGCCTCGTGCACTTCTGCCGACCGCTGCCACAGCCATTACAAAAATTGTAGGTCTTTAATAGAATAATGACATGCTTTATCTTGCGAGAGGGTCTTGGCGAGAGCAAAAACAACTGTTGCCGGGGCTTTCTGTCCTCAGCGTGGTCTCGCTCTTGAGTGCGGCGGCAGAAGGCCTTCCAGATAATCCCCCTATTATCCTTAGAAATACAAAATGGAGAGCCCAAAATTGTATCTCACATCCATTATTGTGTCAAAGGTAATGCTAATGGACTTATCTGGACAGTAATAGCCCTCGCTTCTCTTCAGGTAGCGTCGCCTCTAAATAGTCAGATGCATATTGGACGGGCGAGGGCCCACTTTAAAAATGGGCCGCTCAAGAAATGCTCGCTACTTTAACAATGAGGCCCCCCGGGTGCATTTTTGCCCATTAAACCGCAAATTCAGATTTGGTGTTCAATATTGTTCTCGGAGGGTTGAACGAGGTGATGGGAACGCTTTGCCTATGAGCGCCGTGTGCGGGGGAGATCTCAGAACTGTTGATATTCTACACGGAACGTCTCAAATAGGACACTTTTTTCTTTTTTTTTTTCCCCCGGCAAAGAGACACGTTATCCATTTTCCTGTGCGCATTCTTATTTCGTTGCTCACTGAGGTAAGGTGGCCTCCGTGCAAGGGAAATAATTGCCTCTATCACTGGTGTCAAACTCAAGGCCCGGGGGGTCAGATGTGGGCCGACACATCATTTTAAGTGGCCCGCGAAAACAAATCAAAGATGACAACTTCCACAATACTTGCTAAAATGTGGACCAAAATTTCAAATTTTCACATGTAATAAATCAGTGACATATTGTAAGCATTTTCTTGTTACCAAACTTTTCCGTCATCAAGGCCCTCCAAGGGAAACGGTCATAAAATGTGGCCCGCGACAAATATGAGTTTGACACCTCTGGCCTTTATGATAGGCATACAAAGTAAATTATCAGCATTAAAAGACACAAGCACCTTTTAAAAGTAGTCCTGTTCTCACTTTCACTCGTTTTTCCAAATGGGGCCCAGCGTGCTCGCTTCAAGCCATTCATTTGTCTTACCTCACCGAATAAATAAAAAACAAAAAACAAAATGGTATATAAATCCGTTCATTTTGAAAAAAGATGCGTTGGAAGTGCACACGCACGTATATCTGAGACTCTGCGCAACGTCCGCAAACAACTCAGGCTCGAATTAGCTCAACATACCTCCTTGAAACCAATTCGCATTCAGACGGGGCTTAAGCGACATCATAAGGTGTTTCCGAAAGGGCACAAAATAGGTGAATGGCGAGCGGCAAAGATGAGGGTATTACTGTGTCTAATAGTTTGCCAAGAGCAATGACATAACCGCATTTGCTTCCCCCTGCATGTGCCTGCTCGCTGCCCATTCATGTCACACAGCAGCAAACACAATTTCCCTTCGGCTCCTTAATTCCCAGTTGATATAAAACAGAATGGTGAAGAATCGACTTTTTAAACAATAATCCATAAATAGAGGAGCTGGGATGACAACCCAACCCCCCCACCAACCCCGATCCCCACAAAACCTTGTTAGCCCCCCGGCCCCCTTCAAATTCATTTAGGGAGCAAGCAGGTCTCGCGAGTCGGCTGGCTTAATGCATTGCAATCGCCTTTAAGGGCCTGTGTTTTGGACCAGAACATTGATTCAAATCAAACAGGTTTGAATATGTGTGGAGAAGTGGTCACTGGTATACCATTTCAAACTTAAATTTAAAACATGTTGAGTTTCGATGAAGTAAAAAAGTCTCCGTTGAGGTACATTATCATTCAGTAAATATGCTAGACACTGTACAACAGTTCATACGTCCCCGGTTCAAAATTCTGCCTTTATGAATTCGGTGGCGCTACTCAACCAACCAACCAAGAGTTGCTGCTCACCGACCGCCAGACGAACAATGTAACCGACAACGCAAACCTACCATCGAAGCAAGCTAGCAGCCAAGAAAATGACCAAGCAACCCACACAACCATCCAAGAGACCAACCACCCCAACCAAATGGACCCATTTTCAGTGATAAAACAAAGCAACCCACCGGCTGACTTACAATCTGACCAAGCGCCTCACCAAGCAACTGATTGAACCAACGCACCCACCCATCCAACCAACCAACAGACCAACCAACTGACTAAGGAAGCGCAACAGAGAACAGATCAGAAAACAAAGCAACCCACGAGCCAACCAAGTGGCCAACCAATCCAAAGTATCCGTTTTCCATGAGATCCCTTTCAATTCAACGCTATGGGGCGTCTCTTTGTAAAGACCAAGTGGTCTCATTCAGCTGTATGAGGTGTCACGGTCCGTCACTTCAGCCTGGGAGACTGCTGACCGCTGACCACATGGCCTGCGGTGCAGCACAAAGGGGGGCGGCCCGCTATCACCTGACAGCTAATCAGGGATCGCTCCGCTGCAAGGGGATAACGCTGCCTTTTGAAAGGTTGCAGAAAATCCCTGTGAAGTGCCCATCAAAGGCTCAAGACACCTGCATTTTCCAAAAGGCATTTCCCTGACATTGATTACGCTCTCATTTGCAATCCGGCTATCGTTTCAAAGCAATCTATGCCCACTAAATGGCAGCTTGGCGTAGTCGTGAGCGATTAGCACATTTGCCTCACAGGCTAGAAAGTTTCTATGTTTAGCAGTTTGAATGTTCTCCACGTACCTACACTATCAGTGACTTGTGCTACTGTTATTGTTCCTAAAATAATTATTTGAAGACAGGACGTTCTTACACAGATGAGTTTGTTAGCATTCAGCACGCACATTCATTGGCGTCTAGACTTAACGCACAATTTACTGCTGTCCGTTTGCATTAACAGTAAACCTCTCCCTAGTCGCGGTTCGTCTTTCTTCACCGTTGTGGCCTTTAAGTAAATGACACTTTTCAACTCATGAAGGGAGCCCTGGGGGAGGAAGAAAAATTAAATCGCTCCTAAATTTAACCTGTTAAAACGAATTAAATCTGCTCCTATTTTAGCAACAACCCGATGAGAATGCCGAGGTGATGGCGCAGCACCAACGTGCATGCGCGGGTTCATGTGGGAGACCTCTGCGAACACATTTGTGACCATTAGTTGAGTGTCGGGTTTCAGGCGCAGGGTGCAGCCTCCGTCACAGTCGCTTGCGAGGCTCTGCAACAGCGGGCGATGTCCTCTGGAGCCCGGGCGTCCCACCGACAAATGTATCACGGCAGGCACGGAAGTAACCCGAGCCACCCCTCTGGCCTTCCCAGATGCTTTTAGAGGGATTTGGCCGGCGAGAAAGCACCTCTTCAAAAAGAGTCGTCATCACATTAGAAAGTAATTAGCCGTGCCTGGGGCCGAGGATTCCCTGACCAGACAAATTCGGAGTCCCCTCGCAATCCGTCTTGGTGTGAGGCGGCTGGCCAGGCACGCTCCCTCAGCACAGGGGAGGGAGGTCAGTGTTTTGGAGGGAAGGGGTTTTCCCATGGAAGAAGTGCAGGCGGACCAATCTTAAGAGGTCATTGGGAAAGGTTAGCGGGTCATCCATCTGAGTAACGGTCCGCAGGTGGATCAAGACATCACATAGTCGCGCGCTTACGGGAAAGTTGGCATGAAGTTAGCAGAGGTCAAATGAATTTTAGTTATTGACTAGCACTGACATGCCTTTAATTTGTTATATCCCCACAAAAACATATTTTGTTTCATTACATTTTTAATGAAAAGGCAGCGGGATGGCTCAATTTGTAGCATCCCTGATTTTGGACACTGGGCATTGCCGGTCAGGGCGAGAGGTAGCATCCCGACGGGTCCCTCAGTGAGACCCTTAAACGCTATTCGCCGTTTCCCAGCCACTATCGTGGATGGGCTGAAGCAGGAAGGGCAATCGCCATAAAAACTGAGCCAAACATATCATGTGAGGAACTCGCTGTGGCGACCTTTGACTGAAAGGGACAAAGCCAAAAGTCGAGCAACAACATTTTTGAAAAAGAAAAAAAAAAGCCCCTTATTTTATAAAGAAATTCATATCACAAAAGAGAATGGAAATCTATAAATTACTGAATGGATGAATACATTAAAGAACTGTTAATGGAATTTAAACCCAGAAGGACTCTGATATCTGCAGACTTGGGACAATTAGTGGAGAGTCTTTCAGGGTCATGGCCTAGTGCATGACGTAATGATCGATCGTCGGCTTGGCTGGTTAGTCTGCGTGTGTGCATCTGGGTCTTGGCCGACACCACACGGGTCTACTTTTCATGTCGTCAAACGATGCAACTTTCCCACCGCTGGACATTGAACAGGCCGAAGCGGATGCAGCGTTAGCGCACGGCAGGGCCTGAGAAGCCATTTCGGTGTACGGCCACCTGTTCTTGCAAGCCTGCAGGGCCTCACTGGCATCAAGCCTTCCCCTCACTATTAGACTATCTAATCTGATTGTGAGAAAGATGGAGGTGGAGGTGGGAGAGGTTGGAAGGAGGATTGGGAGGCGTGGGGGGTGGAGGGAGGTTAGCTTGGGTGTTTCACAAGCAGCATGCTGCAGGGTGGGACTCGACACCGCCAGGCCTCCGTTCTGATCTAGTCTCTGATGGATTAAAAGCTGCAGTAGCCTTCAGCGGGATGACGAGAGAACATGGGAGACTCCCCGAGGAATACAGAGATGACACATGTTGGCAAAACAGAGTCCGTTTACGATTCGAAGAGGGAGAGCCCCTCAAATGGCAACTTGGTCATGCACAAGTTAATGGAATTTAACACATGAATCACCGCAATGGAGGGCAATTGTCAATGTGTGTTTAGTCTTGTGGTTGGTAGCATCGGGATCGAACTGCACTGCATCGGGCTGAGAACGCTTTCCGATATTTTATTATGACTTTTCCGATGTAATAGAATTTGAATTCTGTATTGTCACCATCATAATAATAATAATCTCAATTCATCATTATCGCTGGAACACTTTTGAAACAACCGTAAAAAGTGCAGTAAATATAGCGAAACATGACAACAATGCAGAGTCTCATTCTGAGTTCAAATAAAAATGTGTTTTAAGACAGCTTGGAATATAAAAAGTCATATTCTCGTAACGTTTTTATAAATATACTGTAATTTGTAGTAACCATATCAAGCTGTCACATCACCGTCAGCGCGTGTTGACACTGAAAAAGAGCATCGCTAGCACGCGAGCTATCATGCATACGCCCGCTTTGGCACGTCCTCCGAGCTAACGCGGCGAGATGGAGAAGGCAAAACACACATTGTGAAAGCAGAAAGAGCGGCAGCCAATTGGCCAATTAGGAAGTGGCCCATCATGTCAAACTCATTTGCGAAAGCACAGCTTAACCCCCGAGGGCGGGAAGGTACGGATCAAAGGGTGTGTGTCCCCCCCCCATAGGACAGCCCACCGGGAAAGGGGTGAGTTGGGGGGTCACTTGAAGAAACGCTGATCCCTTCTGCTTTTGTGAAGGAATCTCCTAATGACAATAAATCTCCACTGCGAGCTAAAGACGTGATACAGTGGCCATACGATAGGCCCCCCCCCCCCCCCCC